CGGTTTAAGGAGTATTTAAGTAGCCTTTGTTTCAGAATTTGCTTGCATGCAAAAGGTCTGTTAATTTCTACAGTCAATTCGTATTGGACAATTTAAGTCATGCTCTCTTGCAAAGATCAGTATGCAAAAAACATTTGAAATTGCATGCAATGAATATTTAGTTTGCGTGCGAAATAACGCAAGTGGTACTCCGACTTGAACTGCATGTTTGATCAAAAATTTTGCCTTCTCAACGACGATGAGACTATCTGTCTGCAAGCACTAGTTAACTTCACCAGGAACTCTCCCGAAAAACTTGCATTGTGAATACCGAGCTATGTAATCGTGCTCTATTCACAAAATTCGCGTATAATGAGTCTTTGAAATTGTAAGCAATGACTCTTTCGTCAGTATGTGCAACAAAATGGGGCACGCAGCTTTCTCATATACTTAGTGTTTGATCAATACTTGCCTCGCAAAAGAACTGTTTATCGAGAAAAGCACTAATTACCCAGACAAAACACTATTTGCCTGGAAAAAAGCACAGTTTGCCTAGAGGTACCCACAACTTAAATTTAACAAGCATTGCCCTTTCAAACTCGAATCGGGAGATTCAACATATCCGCCGACCCCAGCTTTGAGCGGGGAGGCGCTAGTGAAGACCCCATGGCGTCGGCGTAACCCCGCACCTTAAGCTGACTTTAAAGGGCCCCAGTCCGTGCCCCGCCCTTCCCGCCCTTCCCGCCCTTCCCGCCCTTCCCGCCCTTCCCGCCCTTCCCGCCCTTCCCGCTCCGCCCGCCATGGCTCATGGCCCCATGGCCTCATGGTCCCATAAAGGGCCCCAGTGCATGCCCGCCCCCTCCACCCTTCCCGCCCGCTCTGCCCACCATGGCTCCGCATGGTCCCATGGCTCCATTGCCCCTGGCCCTCCGCCCACTGGCCCCATGGCCCATCATCCCATATGGCATGCCCGCCCCCAGCCCTTCCCGCCCTTCCCGCCCAGGGCCCGTGGTCCCATGGCTCCATGCCCCCTGGCCCACTCCTGGCCCCACGCTCCCGGCTTCGTGCTGACTGTAAAGGGCCCTTCCCCTTCCCGCCCGTTCCGCCCGCCATGGCTCATGGCCCCCTACATGGCTCCATGCTCCCTGGTCCCATGCCCCTCTCTTGATAAGCTGACTTTAAAGGGCCCCAGTGCATGCCCGCCCCCTCCGCCCTTCCCGCCCTTCCCGCGCTTCCCGCCCTTCCCGCCATTCCCGCCCGCTCCGCCTCATGGTCCCATAAAAGGGCCCCAGTGCATGCTTGCCCCCTCCGCCCTTCCCGCCCTTCCCGCCCATGGCTCATGGCCCCAGGGCCCCATGGTCCCATGGCTCCATGCCCCTGGCCCCATGCTCCTCTCTTCTTTAGCTGGCTTTGTGCCCTTCCCGCTTTTCCCGCCCCGCCATGGCTCATGGCCCCATGGCCTCATGGTCCCGTGGCTTCATGCCTCCTGGCCCCATGCCCCTTTCTTCTATAAGCTGACTTTAAAGGGCCCCAGTCCATGCCCGCCCCCTCCGCCCTTCCCGCCCTTCCCGCCCTTCCCGCCCGCTCCGCCCGCCATGGCTCATGGCCCCATGGCCCCATGGTCCCATAAAAGGGCCCCAGTGCATGCCCGCCCCCTCCGCCCTGCCCGCCCATTCGCCCCCTGCCATGGCTTATGGCCCAATGGTCTCATGGCTCTAGCCCTGGCCCCATGCCCCTCTCTTCTGTGAGCTGGCTTTGTGCTGACTTTAAAGGGCCCTTCCCCCATGGCTCATGGCCCCATGGCCCCATAACTCCATCCCCTTGGCCCCACGCCTTTCTTCCATAAGCTGACTTTAAAGGGGCCCAGCGCATGTCCGCCCCCCTCCTCCGCCCTTCCCGCCCTTCCCACCCGCTCCGCCCGCCATGGCTCATGGCCCCATGCCGCCATGGTCCCATAAAAGGGCCCCCATGGCCCCATGGCGCCATGGCTCTAGCCCCCTGACCCCAATGCCCCTTTTTTCTATGAGCTGGCTTTGTGCTGACTTTAAAGGGCCCTTCCCCCATGGCTCATGGCCCCATGGCCCCATGGCCCCATGGCCCCATGGCTCCATCCCCCTGGCCCCACGCCTTTCTTCGATAAGCTGACTTTAAAGGGCCCCAGTCCATGCCCGCCCCCTCCGCCGTTCCCGCCCTTCCCGCCCGCCATGGCTCATCCATGCTCCCTAATCCCATGCCCCTCTCTTGATAAGCTGACTTTAAAGGGCCCCAGCGCATGCCCGCCCCCTCCGCCCTTCCCGCCCTTCCCGCCCTTCCCGCCCTTCCGGCCCTTCCCGCCCGCTCCGCCTCATGGTCCCATAAAAGGGCCCCAGTGCATGCTTGCCCCCTCCGCCCTTCCCGCCTTTCCCGCCCATGACTCATGGCCCCATAGCCCCACGGTCCCATGCCATGCCCCCTGGCCCACTCCTGGCCCCATGCTCCTCTCTTCTTTAGCTGGCTTTGTGCCCTTCCCGCCCTCCCCGCCCCGCCATGGCTCATGGCCCCATAGCCTCATGGTCCCGTGGCTTCATGCCTCCTGGCCCCATGCCCCTCTCTTCTATAAGCTGACTTTAAAGGGCCCCAGTCCATGCCCGCCCCCTCCGCCCTTCCCGCCCTTCCCGCCCGCCATGGCTCATGGCCCCATGGCCCGGCTTTGTGCTGACCGCCCTTCCCGCCCGCTCCGCCACCATGGCTCAATGGCCCCATGGCCCCATCTCTAGCCCCCTGGCCTCTCCTCTGTGCGCTGACTTTAAAGGGCCCTTCCCCATGGCTCATGGCCCCATGGCCCTATGGTCGCCCCCTCCGCCCTTAGGGCCCCAGTGCATGCTTGCCCCCTCCGCCCTTCCCGCCTTTCCCGCCCATGACTCATGGCCCCATAGCCCCATGGTCCCATGGCTCCATGCCCCCTGGCCGCTCCTCTCTTCTTTAGCTGGCTTTGTGCCCTTCCCACCCTCCCCGCCCCGCCATGGCTCATGGCCCCATGGCCTCATGGTCCCGTGGCTTCATGCCTCCTGGCCCCATGCCCCTCTTTCCTATACTTAAGTTTAAAGGGCCCCACTCCATGCCCGCCCCCTCCGCCCTTCCCGCCCTTCCCGCCCTTCCCGCCCGCTCCGCCCGCCATGGCTCATGGCCCCATGGCCCCATGGTCCCATAAAAGGGCCCCAGTCCATGCCCGCCCCCTCCGCCCTTTCCCGCCCGTTCGCCCCCTGCCATGGCTCATGGCCCCGTGGCCCCATGGTCCCATGGCTCTAGCCCCCTGGCCCCATGCCCCTCTCTTCTATGAGCTGGCTGAGGGGTCGGCGGCACTGGCGGTAGCCATTAAATCGGGCAGCGCGAGGTCCCCAAAGGACCGAGCAAATGCGGACCTTTTAGCCCGGGTCGTCCCGGGAATAGCCTAAAGGGCCCCAGTCCATGCCCGCCCCCTCCGCCCTTCCCATGGCTCATGGCCCCATGGCCCCATGGTCCCATAAAAGGGCCCCAGTCCATGCCCGCCCCCTCCGCCCTTTCCCGCCCGTTCGCCCCCTGCCATGGCTCATGGCCCCGTGGCCCCATGGTCCCATGGCTCTAGCCCCCTGGCCCCATGCCCCTCTCTTCTATGAGCTGGCTGAGGGGTCGGCGGCACTGGCGGTAGCCATTAAATCGGGCAGCGCGAGGTCCCCAAAGGACCGAGCAAATGCGGACCTTTTAGCCCGGGTCGTCCCGGGAATAGCCTTGCTGGCCTCTGGCCTTCTGCGAAGCAGAATTAGGCCGGACGCCAATGCCGCCGACCCCCGCGTGCCGCCGGTGAACGGTTTTTTTTTCGTGGTTTTTTGCGTCGCCACGGAGGCCCCCAGAGGGCGCGCATCATGAGCATCAGCGGGTCCAGCCCGGGACCCCCAGGCGCGCATCAGGAGCATCAGCGGCTCCCGGGGCGGGACCGCGGGGGGGCATCAGGAGCATGATGCCCCCCAAAGGGCGGGCATAAGCGACGTGTCTAAGCCCGGGGCTAGGAAAAAGGGAGTCTAGGGGCCTGATAAAGTGCTTAGAAACGTTAAGGGAGTCTCGGAGCCTCAAACGCTTAGAGATTTGAAGGGAGTTTAGGGGCCTGAAAATGCGTAGAAACTTAACGCTTAGAGATTTTAAGGGAGTTTAGGGGCCTCAACATGCTTAGAAACTGCTCGCCCCGGGCTTCTGCGTGCGCTGCCCGCCCATGGGCGCAGCCCCTTAAAATAGACCAATCCAATTCTAGCGTATCGGCCTGCCACTACCCGCTCGACTCTGAGATGACAAACCCGACAGGATCGGACATAAGTTCAAGTACTGCTTGCACGCTCCATGCACGAAAATCTTCTCCATCCTACGGTCAATATGTAAAAGTCCAAAAACGGTACGTCGCTGGAGGACGGTACCATACATATATCTTTGTATATATACAAATAGTATATAGAGACTTAACACCGCGCCGAATTAAGCAGAACCCAGTCCTGCAACAGCCACTCGCCGTATGGCGCATTCTTGCAAAACCACATCAAGCTGCATCGGGCATGCTGAGTACGCTGAGTACGCTGAGTACACTGAAAGTGTCTTTACGGCTGCATGGGCCACAGGATGCATTGCCAGTCGCAAGATCAACAGAAGACCACCTCATCAGGTTGAAGTATATTGTCTACTGACCTGTGAAGAGGTGCTCAAAGTGCATTTCTGATCCTTGAGCCCCATAGTACCAGTCTGAGCTGGCCTCATCTAAAGTGCCCACAGACTCCAGAAGGTGGGAGAAAAAGACCCTGGGGCCTCCATACTCCAGGCTCTGCTCCGCAGGACCTCCAGGTTGCAGACTGCGCAAACCTTGGAGCCTTGGACCGTCGCATCTGCTCAAGGAGCCGGCCTCCCATGATGCGGCCTCGGCCACAGCGGCATACGAAGCTCGGGGGATCGCTTGGGCATGCATCCCCATCGAGTATCATCGTGCACTTTTTGTGACTGCAGCTTTTACCACTCGGGTACCATTACTCCGCCTCCCTTTCTTTCGACTTCGTGACATCCTCAGGGTGGGAAAGACGAAGCAGGAAGATGTCTCCTCAGGTCAAGGATAGCGACGGAATGGTGGCTGCAGACTGCTGGGAACACGATGATTGCTATGCAGCTACAACAGCAGTGAAAGGCTGAGACTCAACGAAGCCAAGATGTTGGAGGATCAGACAAGACTGGAAAAAATCACATTTTCACAGACGCGTACGCCGAAGTCCGAAGTCCGAAGCAATCTGAAATTCAGCTTGAGCTTCCTTTGACAAGGCCTGCGAAGCCGTCGAGCCGGACGTCCACTTCCTTGATGTCTTCCGGGACGAAGTTCTCTGCAAGCTCCAAGATGAACCTACGCGTGTGGGCAAAGCGCTCACTCGTTCGTTCAATGACTCCACGGGGAGCTTCTTCTTCTGATGCAGACTCGGTAGAGAAGGCGAGGAGGCCGCCCGTTGACAACACCCTCTCGGCCTCTGCGATGAAGGGCGCCATAGAGTAGAGATAGAGGACCACATCTGTGGCAATCATCAAGTCGCAGGTGCTGCTAGCCTGACGCCGCAGGTGCGCCACCAAGTCCCGACAGTGGAGTTCGTCGTAGACATGCTTCTCCCGAGCTTTCTCAATCATGCAGTGCGAGAGATCGACGCCCTCCAGCACCTTGCAACGATCGCGCAGCCGGACACCAGCTAGGCCCGTGCCACATCCCAGGTCAATGCAGCGATTGAACTTGGCCATTGGCAGCATGGCCAACAAAGAGCTCGGAACATCATAGCGCAGGGCTCCCAAATGCTGGTCAAAATCCTCGGCATAGTCGTCAAAAAGCTCCTCCTGGAACAAGCCGAGACAAAAACGTCTACTCCACTCTCGCACAGCATTACAGTCGATTCTGGCGCTTGGGATGTTGGTGTGTCGTCTTTTTGCTCAGACCTTTAAAACTTTGCAGGGACTCTTCAAGTGGCGCTCCACACACTGACGATGTCTCGCTTCCAGGATGAACGCGCGATCTTGCGCCGTCTTTGCCATGTCAAGCCCTTTGCTGAGAGATCCCGCGACGTCTGTCGTCTGCTTGAGGGGGCGACTTGGGAGGTCTGGTACTGCCGTTGAGAATAACAGCTGTGTTGGATGTTGTGAGCCAAAGGCTGCATTGGCTGAATGGCGCAACACCCGCCCCTCTCATGGAGCCAAGCCTGCGCACAGCTTCACATTGCATGAGCGACACCCCGCTGGGCTGCCAGCAACTAGGGCATCACCTTGCTGCGAGGTTCTTCAGAACCTGTATGACATCAAAGCACCATCCACCCATAGCAAGAAGCTGCTGGAATGAATCTCTGTTAGGACAGCCAATCGGGTGCACGATCGAACTTTGAGGACCCAGCGAAACTGGGCACGCGCATGATCCTACTGCAGGGAATACGTCGCCCTCCAAAGCAAAACTTGAGCCTCATCACGAATGATGATTATGACCATGACCGTCTCCGCATTTTCAAGTCATTGCAAGTCTGCTGCTCAAACTCAAAGCTGCAAGCAAGTGCTGGCATCACTTTTTCTGAGATGAGCAACGGAGCCGCCACTGATTCCACTAACTGACTTAGCATCAGTGGCAATAACATGGGAACAGGTGGATGTCACAGCCATTCGGCTACCCTGGTCAATGAGCACTGCGCAATGCAGGGAGAGCCACCAAAATCTCTCCGCAACTCAAAGGTTCTAGCCTAAAGCAGCCACTACGCATGCAAGCCCAGTCAGGCCAGTTGCTTCTAGTCTCAGGCCTCACTTTCGCGGTTTGGTTCAGACTTCAGTATCACGAAGCTATGCCATCTCTCTCTGCGTCTTTCTCTCGGATCGGGACATATGGGCTGCAAAGGCCCTTGCCTCGTGACACTCGGATGCAGCCCAAACCACAAGTGCGCCTTTAGAAGGCTCTCCAGCTGTGAGAGTTCTCTGAGGGTTGAGCCTTTGCCCTCTGCTGTGGAGGCGACCACCAGGCCCACGATCAGGCCATAGAGCCCCAAGGCCTTTCTTGTGATGCTTTGGGATGCCTTGGGATGCTTTGGGATGCTTTGGGATGCTTTGGGATGCTTTGGGATGCTTTGGGATGCTTTGGGATGCTTTGGGATGCTTTTGGGTTTCCATTTCCACAGATACTGGAACCCTCAATTTGGAACAGGTGGGAAAGTCGATGAGGACATTGATTGCACTTCGCTCCACAATGCTGAAGCTCTGCGGCAAGCGGTGCAAGCGAAAAGTAATGCAATGTGATCATGTGACGGTTTGCCATGAAAAAAACCCTGGTCGCATTCCTCGGCGAAAATCAGGATGAGGATCATGCCGACAAACAGTCGAGGCTGCTGGGCATTGGCTCGTACCCCGGCATCTCCAACAATGCCAATGGCAAGTCCTCGCAGCCAAGGTCCCGTACTATGGTCGTCATGGCTAACATGCTGAATTGCTGGCACCCTGCTGCTCATGAGCGCTAATTGTGCTAATTTCGGCTAATTGGGCGAACTCCCGCTAAAACCCTCCTGCTGCAAGGGAGCTCATGCCCACAGTGAGGCCTCACTCAGATCTCCAAGATAATTCTACTGCACGGCTTGCACAATTTCCACGGTGCCTGCACCAAGATGCGCATAGCCGGAATAAGCCGAATAGTTTGCAGCATCCATCTTACCGTTGATGATCACCTTGTGATGGCCAAAAGCCCGTGAGTTCTACGCAGTTGTCGGATGCTCCGAGATAAGTGTTGCACTGCCGTGATCAAGCCGTAGATGCCAAGGACTCCAGCCTGAGGCAAAGTCTTGAAGCATGACGACTCACGCTTAAGGCTTAAGCCCTGAGCTCGGCACCATGACAACCGGAATGATGGACCTCAGATGTTTTCCCCATGGCCGAAATCAGGCCATGTAGTACAGGGTTACATGGCCAAGGCACTTCATGATCATGTCGGGACGCATAACCTGGGTTCTAATATGGGAAGACGACAAATCGCAGCACACCAGCATGACGACACCAGCAGGGCAAGGCGCGCCCATGGAGGCGATGCCGACACCTACCAAGGAGCCAAGGAGACAGCAAAAAAAGCTGGAGGCATCTGGGGAAACAGTCAACTTTGACTTCAGTTTAACCACACTGTAACTGGAACCACACAGGAAATCTGGTCGAGACTCAGTGGCGCTTGGTTGTGTGGTATGGCCTCTTTGTCGGGGAGGGCGAAGTGCCCCTGTCCTTCAACATCGTGCTCCCCTCTGAGCACCGCCTATTACTTGGCAAGCACAGTAATGTTGCACCTGCTTTCATGCGCCCCCGCCCCCCCCCCCCTGAACAGTCGAGGTTGGATTGCTCCTCTTTAAATGGGCCCGGGGGTTTATATGATTCAGCGTGTGGAATTTTCTTACGGCGCCCGGACGATAATAGCCCAGCCAAATTGACTTTATAGAGGAGGCCCCTACTAAACCAGGTCCAACATTATCCCAGTTATCCTCCAAGGATTCCTAGAGTAGCTTCGGACTCAACCGAGAGAGACACCCTGACATTTACAATTTTGCAGCTCATGATTCATGCGCGTGGGACCTTGGAGGGAAGGCGAGGCTTTCAGGGCAACAAGAAAAACCAAGCCTGCTTCGCTTTCAGAGCACACACATTCTGCTTGGAGTCCAAGGAGGACGGCTTGCCGGCCTGACTTTGCCGTGCCGTAGGCCGCTCCCAGATTGGCAAATACCAACGCCGACGTCACTCCCATGAACCTTGGACCATCCCCAACGTTTAGGCCCTTAGGCAGGGCAACAATGGCCAGTGACACAGCAGGAGATCAGCAGGCCATTCTGGGCCAAGCGTCCCGAAGAAAGCAGAGGATGGGTCGCACTGCCTACACAGCTCGATTTACTTCACCAGCTCATGGAATGTACAGACAGCAGCTTAATCCCCAGGCGCATCATTTTCTTGAGCTGAACTTCACACCTGACAGTGCCAGAATGTGTGGGAGAGACAGTCAGCGCAGCAGAGAAAGCAGAAACTCAGGCAGTGGCTTGGTCTAGGAAACGTCGGGGGCCAGGAAACAAACGACTTGAGCCAAATGCAATAGCACATAATAGCACAAATGGGCTCAGACTGATGCCAGTCCCCATGCTCATCGAAGGAACATCTGGTGCGGGGTCACATTTTGCTCGCTGTGCCTTACCAATCGAAATCCCACCTCCTACGTGCTCGCCGTCGCATCATGTGCCATCTTGAAGGAGGCTGGCCTGGGCTGATGTCCTACAAAATCCTGGCACTTGCTCATGGCTTCGAGGTCACGAGGCCGACTCGGAACCAGGTCGGAGACTCAGGCAAGGGCAGAGCAAGCGCACACGGCCCTGCATCCCAACCTCCGACATCGTACGCGAGATGTGTGGGGTAAGCTCCCTAGCTTGCAACTCATGTCAACCGCATTCAGCAAAGCAGACCTCCGCGCAGATGTCATCCACCATCTTGTTAATCTCCTTGCGGGAGTTTGTAGGCTCAAGCGACGCTGAGATTTGATACAGCTGGCTCTTTCGGCTGTGTCCTTGTGAGTCTTGCCTTCAAACTTCGGAGAGCACATCATTCCAACGAAATGCTTGTCCCAGACCTTCGACATGCGACCACAACCGCCTTCAAGTTGGCTACACTTCATAGCAGCTTTGGACCAATGCCAACTCAACAGAGCCATACAGAGCCTGCGTAGCAACACTACTCTCGCGGTCTCTTTCCGAGCTCACTGCATAGTTGCAGAATGTCAGGTTATTCCTGCACTCCGAAATTCCGGCAACTGACAGCTGAAAGCAACACTGCTGCTGCAGGTCCTGAGGTAGAAATGCACTGGCACGAGCCTTTCGGTGAGAATCTTCCGCCTCAGGGGGGCCAAGGAGATGGGCTTGAATTCTACCTCGCACCTTCAGCCAGCTTGGATTGAAGCAAAGGCTCCCACAATGCAATCAAATTTGGGCTGGGCGGCGGTGCAAATTTGTAGCCTGATCTTGGCCAAGCAAGCCGAACAGCGAAGCGCTGAGGGAACTTCCGAACCGAAGCGGCTGTTGCGCACGGCGGTGAGGGCAAAGAGGCCGCATCCACCACCTCTTTCAACTTGCATGAGAGTGAGCACGGAAAGTGTTACCCATGGCGTTTTGGGTTTGCCTGGATGGCCTTGCTCCTCGATCGACGGCCAGGAACTGTCAGGCAACATGTTGCACTGGCTATGCGGTTGCCAGACGTGACAAGACCCGTTAGGAAGCCATGAACCCTGCAGACGCTAACGTTTCAAACTGCGCCTTCTGGTTTTACTGTGTTTGAAAGCCTTTAGCAACTTTAGTACACGCACACACACACACACACAGAGACACAGGCACACAGGACCTAACTCTTCCCATCTTTTGACAGTCTAGATGCGAACTCAGCTGATGTCTCTGGGAATGGCTCGCAGAGGCTTGGGCATCCAGCTTCGCGGGAGAAGGAAGAGGTTTTATCATGACACCATGAATGGCCTCTAGCCAGAAAACATCAAGGCTTACTCCGGGGACCACCGAAAGTCGTCGTTCCGGCTATCGCAGCTGAGCTACGCTGCGATGCGAAAGCTTTCATCCCCACCAGGGTGGGCAAACTTGACCGCAGCAATAGCATCTGTACAAACTCATCCTTCCAACTTCCAATAATACAGCCAAAACCTGAAGCCGCTCGTTGGGGCTAGCCCGAAACTCAACTGCAATAATCTATCGGTGGCTCGGTACAACACCGTGAGTCGCCTTCGCAGGTGGCCCAACCGCAGGCGCGGCAGGCGCGGAAGCCTCCCGAAATGAACATGGGCTTCGGGTTGAGTTCAGCAGGTGAGGGATAATATCATCACAACGGCTCTTTTTTCAAGCACGCCGAATTCCCAGTGCGGCCCTCGCCGGTTCCTTGTCCAACCGGCCCTCTATGCTCTGGCCAATTACACAAAATTGATTGCAACAAAAGAGTCTTGTGGCCCTTCGCCAAGCATGGTTTCCATGGCCGGCGATTTCTCCAAGGACGGGACGTGCGCGTAAACTTTACAGGGCTATACAGGGGGCGATCATGTCCAGACGAGGAGACTCACATGAGCCAAGCATCTGCCTCACTGACAGATGGTTTCTTCTCGGAACTGTTCCTCCTAGAGATGGGGCCAGAGGAAGGTACCCATTTTGGAATGGGCGGGCTTATTGGCACCCGAATAGGAGCTGGATTCTTGGATCAAAAGAAGGTCTGGCAAAACCGAAACCCTGGAAGGAGGGAAGAACGCGCGGAACGCGCGGATTGAACGCACGCCATCAAACGATTTGCCGCCAAAGTTCTGTCCATCTCCGCCTTAACCGTCACGTGGTGCTCTTTCCAAGTCCTGTCTCTTGTTGCGGCAAGAGCACTTGCCTCGCTGGACTTCAAGGTGGGCACAGGCCAGTGTCCTTCTCCGGGTCTTTAGAGGAGATGGTCCTGCGAGAATAGAAAGTTTTGACGTTCTGACAAGCATCAGACCCGCCTACCTAGGAGCTTCCCCATTCCGTCCTGGGGCATCGAAACCGACCGGCCAGGAGATACAATGGTACCATCAGTACAGCAGAAACCATGAGGAAGCTGTACCTGCCACCGTAGCGTCTCCAGCTGTTGGGAAGAGGCAAAGATCTGGATGAAATGCTGCTCAGCTGCGCAGAGTCCTGACGTGGCGCGGTAGTCACACTTACACTGTCTCTATGTGTCCTTAACAAGTTCATGAAACCGCCTTCCGCTTGGTCGAAGCCAACGCATATCCAAGGATGGAAGCGGCAGACACCTGCACCTTTGATGGGACATCGTGTCATGGCCCCGATTCCCCAAATACTGACAGCAGAAGCTAAGAAACTAAGCCTTCGGCAAGCACATTGGAGAAGGCACCCACAGCTTTCTCGCCGCCATAGAAGTCACCGAAAATTCCCTGCCAGAGACATCACTCTCACTGCTGCGCGTTCGGGGCTGAGGTGTTTCCAGGCCTTGTTGGCGCCTTCATAGACTCCTCGCTCTCTTGGGCGCTTCAAGAAGACGAGCCACACCGAGAACACACCAGCCTGTCCTCGACCAACCCCATGTAGGACATGGGCAAGAAGCAGCCAAGCACCTCAGCTCAGTTTCGACCAGTGGATGCTTCAGGAGGACTTGGAATCTTCCGAGTACAGGCGTGCAGGGGTTCCCTCCGCCTCTGCCGCAAGGGGATGTCGGTCAGACACAAATTTTTCTTGAGCACGTTAACCTGCAGGGTTCGGGACCACAAGCTGTGGCCGTTTTGCCCAGCATGGCCCTGGAAGGGCTTGCGGTTGCTGGTGTTTTGGTGAAACACTGCCTGAGAATTGTTGCTCTTGTCTGTTCTGCTCTTAGCCCTTATTCGTCCCACCTTTCTGCACATGTTCTCACAACGCGGCTGTGCAAAACGCCATCACCACCATGTTGGAACACACCCCATGCCCTAAAGGTTCGGGGTCGTGCAAAGAAGCAGAGCTTTGGTAAGTCTGGTGAGGCCCATATCATGAGGCTGAGCACCGACACTCTGTAGACAATCTACAAACCATTGAGAGTGGGTGTGTCAACAGGGTCCTAAAAACGGCAAGCACCTTCTGATAGTGCCACGTGACTCCATCCCAATCTGTCAGTTGGTTCGGGAATCTTGCCTTAGTTGTCCGCATGAGTCGCATGTATCACCCCTGCAGGCAAAGACAGATGCTAGGCCGTTAGGCTCTCTCGCTTGAACAGGCAAGCTCCGCTCTCAAGACGACCAGGTTGCTCAGCAAACCAACGCCTACGAAGGAGAGGGATCCAAGTGCCAGGATGGGACCTGCAAGTGAAATTTCTGAAGTGGAACCTAGCTTCCCGCTTGGGTTACAACTTGATTATACTTGCCTACAGAATCTCTTGCAGAATCTCCTACCATGGACTTCTCGAATGGTGTGGGAGCCCGGATGCTGCTCCCACCGGAAGACAGCAAAGCACGTGCAATGCAGTGCAACATGCCGTGCAACGCACAGCAACGCATAGCAATGCTGTACGGTTCAGCAAGTCGACCATGGACCATGACCATAGCCTCATTGCGCAATGAGTTATGATGGACCTTCACTTCACGAGGAGCGAAGTTGACTGACGTTCGACGCCCCTTGTCTTTGCTAGGGCTCTTGTCCTTCTCCGAGCAAGAACGGCCTGCTCCGTGACTGGTGCTGCACAAGTCTGGCCCGGGCAAGTTCCTCTGGCCTGCCTTGTAAAAGCCCATTGCCTATTGGCAGCAATACTGGCAGTTCGGTTCCGTTCGGCTCTTTTTCGGGATGGCAGCACAGTAGACTTTCTCAACTTGCCATGGTACCCGGACCCAACTGTCCCAGCGAGCCGTTCTGTGAAGTAAACAGCCCATGTGCAGCAGGATTTAGTGCAGGAGCGGGTACATGACTCATCGCTTTGCTCGAGAATAGCTCTGGCGCGTCTGCCAGCACCAGGCCCCCCCCGCGGGTCAGGCAAGACAAGCAAAAAGCCCCCGACACACTGTGGTGAACCCTAGGCCTCCTGTCGAAGCAGGAAAAGCCTTAAGGCACCTTGCCCAAGAATTGCTTTGCCATTGAGGTTTGAGGTGTCATGCCACGCTCCAACCCCCAGTGTCTCTACACGTGTTGACCTTCCCATGCGTCCACTGCACAAGGCTCAGCACATGAACTAACGAAACTCCTGGGAGGGACCCAGCAAAGCTTTCCCGTCCTGAAAGTTTCCAGTTTCAACTTGTGGAGTTGATTGGGCCGCAGCCACTGTCAGGTAGCCTGTGAGCTTAGTCTGGCTTTCAACAAAACCTCTGCGGCCGGCCTTTGCCACAGGCAAGGGGCCTCTCAGAAAGCTTCGAGACAACCTCAGCTTCGCAGAGCTTCGAAAATGTGATGTCATCCCATGTGACTCCCAGAGCGAGTGGCTCCAGCAACTCCGGTTGTGAGAGCGCCAGCAAAGCCAAGTAAACTGAGGTCGCCAGTTGCCTCAAATATGACAATGCCTAAATTACTCCTCTTCTGTTGTACTGTGTTTGACATTCGCTTGCATGGGTTGGCTCAAGGTTTGCACGTCTCCCGCCTCATGCCAGCGTTCATTCACACAACCATTTACCCAGGCGACCTGCAGCTCACAGACATTCTGCTCTGGACAAAGTTGTAAAAACACTGCGAAACGCCGCAGAGTGTAGGCACTGATAGAGCGGGATGTCACCGGCTTATTTGCCTCGTGGCCTGAAGCCCTTGCGTGTCCGCACTTCACTCAGCAAAAACTCAGCAAGGGACGGAGAAACCTGGGCTGCGATCATGTGCTCATTATGTGCCCAGTGTTTTCTCATGTCTTATGTGCCCGCATCCAGGCAGCCAAATGCGAAGTTGGTCATCGACAGCAGCCTGAGCTGCAGCCGCAACACGTAAAAAAAATGCTGCTTCTGCTCTTGCTGCTGGCATCTGAAGGCATCCAGCTTTGAGGATCTGCATAATTCAGAATTTCTGATGCTGCGTATGGCGTATGGTTTTGAAGGGCTCTGGCAACATGCGCCTGAACCAAATGACTCCGATGAGTCTGCTGGCATCTGTCGTTCATCTGCTTGCCATGGATACCCCAACCCCCCACTAAGGAATAGCAACTGGGCAGCAGTTGCACAAAGACATGATGAACAACCAACAAGAGTGAACACGTTGAGGTATCTGTTAAGGGACGACCCCTCAGTACAATAGTCCGGACGACCCTGCACTACTTCGCTTTTGGGCAGGAAGTTTGCCCGATCGGGGAGGGGGGTGGGGGGGCTGCCAATACATCGTTCTGGCTGGCTCTTTGTCGGGAATGAGGATTAGGGTCCTATGTAATCCCTTAAAGGGTATATGGGGGGTTTACGAAATTAAGGAACCCCATCCCTTCATGATAAGAACGACAATACGGTACCCCTAATATCCTAAACCCCCATTTTGGGGCCCTCAACCCCTCGGGCTAGGGGTCCTCATTGCCCCCGAGTCGCCAGAGCTTAGGATCGCGCCATAGTTGCAGACCGGCCAGCGTCCTCTCGCAGAGGGGCCTTGTGAGGAAACACGCACAAAGCAAGGAACTCTAAACCCCAAACCCTAAACCCGAAACCCTGAACCCTAAACACTAAACCCTAACCCTAAACCCTAAACCCTGAACCCTAAACCACTCAAGAAAGAACCTCGGAGTGGTCCACCCAGGAAAGATGTCCGTGCTCAGAGCGAAAGCCACCATTGCCTCTCAGGCTCGGGTGAACTTTTGAACTTTTTGCTCGGATCTCTTCTGACAAAGTCATGGCTCTTGCTGCTCAAGCTGCCAACACAGCCAGAACAAGAGCGGAAAAGAAGATCCAGGATGACCAAACCTCCACTTTCCTGAGAGTGCCACAGGTTTGGCCATTAAGCGAGCTCCAAATCGCTACATGCTGCTACCAAGCATGAAGTGCAGAGAAGGGTCGTGTATGTGAGCAACACCTCAGTCGGGTGTGTGCACAGCCTCGTGGGTTCACAGAAGGAGACGTACCCCAAAACACTCACCCCCCACGAGACATGTGAACCTTCAGTGCAACAATCGCAAGATACTTGCCGAGTTCAAGAACTGATGCTATTGACATGCCATGGCTTCATGTAAACAGACAGATCTTCCTTGCTAAGGACCCTGTTAGCAGAGCGTCTGCCAGGAGAAGTTTGGTGCTGCCCTCCTTGGCATGCAGGCCGTCGCAACGTGAAATCTGGACAATACTCCACGAGACTGATTTTGATTGGAGCAAGATTCTGCCACCAGCAAACCGAAAGCAAAGGAGGACGACAGCTTGCCGGTAAGGTGGCTCAAGGCTTCCTGGCAATCGGCCCGCAGACCCACAAACACGGCGCAACAATCGTTCTCGCGTCGTGCCTCACGAGTGCTCTGGCCCGTAGGGCCACTCTGGCCACCGGCGGCTGACCTCAGCTGCTTCGGCACAACAGCTTTCACGTCTGGCCTCTCGATTCGAGGCCCTGGCCCTGACTCAGCCAACAGCTGTACCTCAACAGTCCGTGTATGTCGGTGGAGTCAATGTGTGCTTCCTCTTCACATCCCCTGCAGACGGGCATCCGGCCACAGCGGAGAAAAAGGCCCCTTGGCTGGGCCAAAGGATGCCAGCCCCAAGGCCGCCGAAGGCTGCGCCAACCTTGTTGCTACAAGGCCGGCAGGGAGTTGGGGGTTAGGGGTCAGAGGGGTTACCGGTTATAGGGGGTAGGGTTGAGGGCTGAGGGTTGCGCCCCGTGCAATCAAGAGACGAAAGCAAAGCCCCTCGCACCACTGCTCTCGCAGTTGCAGCCTCTCTCACGTATGCGAAGACATAGCCAAAGGTCAAAACATGCTCTGCGGAAGATAAGAAAGCCGTGCAATGCAATGCGGATTCAGAGATTCCAGAGCTGAATCAGCTAGTAGACAGACTTGGGGGCGAAGCGGACGAAAAGCTCCAGCCAATCTAAGCACCTCACCTCCTCCACTTGAACTACAGAGGAACACTGCCACAACGAAGAAGAGCACATAGGTGGTGCAACCAACAAGGCCGACAAGAAGACCTGTCTTGAGAGGCTTGCATGCTAGCATGTGCTAGCAGGTGGGCAGCTTGTCTCGGGCATGGTGCCTCGTTTCGGGCCACAAGTGCTGACGATCAGCGGAGCTACGGCCAGGGAGGCTGTGAGGCTAACCTTGCGCACGGATCCGGAGGAGGCTGGGATGTGTCGGATTTGCAGATGCCCGTTTCGCATGTAGGGCAATGTAGGGGCTGGGCTGAGAACAACAAGGCATTTGACAAGTTTCCAGTGAAGTGTCCCAGAGCCTGCAGTGCACAGAGCAATCAGAAAGAAAGCACACAGGAAGCTACATGAAACAACCCATCTGCTAAGCTCATGGCTGAGCTTGCATACATCATCAGTGTGGTCACGGTGGCATGGGTCAAGGCAAATGTCCAGGTCATACGCTGAAAGGTCCCCATGATCACTTTGCCTCAGATTCACAAGGAACAGGTTTGGAAGTTTAAAGCGCATGGAAGAAAACTCCTCTTCTGCATCCGAGCAGCTGTCATACCTGCTCGTTGACGAAGTGCTCGCGTCCATGGCTTGTCGCTACGATATGCGTTGAAACAGCAGGCTTCCGCGCACAGCTTTGACACACACCAACACAACCACAGAACATGAGTATCGCATGCTGTCGCGCAACCACTTGCTATCACGCGCCATCACCTGTTGTCACAACGTCTGTTTACTGAAGATATCTCATAACTGAGACATGAAAGATAGGCAACGGTCAATGGCCTTCGTCCGCTGTCGTTGATATCTGCTAACTTTACAAAGAGACTTTAGCCCCTACAAGCCAGACAGCACCAGGATGCCCAGATTCTCCAAAAAACACCTCCCCCCCCCTCCCCACACTTGCAATGCCTCCTGCACTGCATCTTGCAACGCATCTTTAGGAACTTCAGGACACACCTCGAAGGCATGGCCCGCCGCAGGGCCGCCATGGCGGCCATGGCAGGGCTGTAGCTCGGTGTGCAAGTGTGTGCAACTGTGGGTAATGCACATGTGTGCAAGCTGTAGCGACAACTTTTGCTGAATGGGCATGGTTACCCATGGTATCCTGTGGTTGCTCTAATGCATGTAGAGTCCTCAATGGCTGCGGATGGAACACTGGCAACACAGCCATGGTCTGCAGCAAGTTTGGAATCGGCGAAGGCTAAGGCAGGCTTCAAGACTTTTCTTCTCCTGACTTGCTTGGCCACAGGAAACCGATGACAGGAGCATCATTCGGCAATCCTTCACGGCGTGCAAGCCCTGACCGCGCCCGCCGTCGCAACGTCCGTGGCCCCGGAAAGTAGGATCCGACACCTCCCCTTGGAGATCTCAGTGAGTTCACCTCATACTCCGCCGACTCTGCGAGCAGCGCCATTGCCAACTCCATGTGGGCTCCGACATCGCGTCCGGACAAATTAGACCACGCCGTGGCCGGCCTGCAAAATGAGACTGTGCTGTACGTGTGTTGGGCGGCTTGGTGCAAGCAGTGCTAATGCAGGTCCTCGTCCACGAGCGTCTGCCCGTTCTCATCCCACAACCCGCCCGCAGCGATGGGATCAAAGGCAGCACCTCACAAGAGAGAGCTCTCGAAATGCAGCTCACAGCACCTTTCTGCAAAGGTAGTGCTCAGCACATCGGAACCGCTTGGAAGAAACTGCTGCCAAGCACACAAGGCTGGGATATAGCCTTTGGAGAGGCTGTGGTCCTCAATGTTCATTCCTTGCGCAAGGATCAGGCACACGGCTCACGGTGCTCTGCGAACATCCGAGACGCAGACTGGCATAGCTCAATGGCCTCCAGAGAAAAAAGTCCTGTGAGCTCGACTCTGCAACTGCCCACGAACGGCATTTCAAACTGGTCACAACATGTCTCTCCTTGGCTAAAACACGAACCTGAGACAGGTGGACATAGCAGGCTCCCGGTCGCAACCTGAGGGAATAGATGAAGATCTGATTCAGTGCAAGTAGAGTTGCTGTTGGCTAAGTCTTGGACAGGTGTTTCTCAATGTCGGGACGCTTCAGCATCTCCTGCGCGAGTGCCAGCAACGAAGACATTTAAAACACAAATCAATAGGCAACACATGCTGCTGCCTAGAACTGAGCCTGGATCCTTTTTCTTGAGATCATGATGTTGTGCAATCGTTGATTGGCCGGATTCCAGACGCATTTATCGAGAGTTATCGAGATTTCTTGGCTGGGATCTCTGCAAGTGCAGACCCCACAGCGCGGGCATGTCCATTGGAAACCCGTGAGCGCTGTCGAGTTTTGACCTCTGGGCTGTGGCTTAAGACATCGAGGCTGGTTGGCCTAGAGGTGGCCTGTGAATGCACCGTGATTTGGTCTGTATATGAAAGACAAGCTTGACACCTGTCACGCCCACATGATCAAAGCAGATCGTCGAGCCGGAACTCTTCAAACAAAGTTCGGCATCAGGTATGTCCGCAGAGCTGTGCTCAGCTCTGAGAAGTCTTGTCTTTTTGTGGGTCAGAGTTGTATTGCGTCGCCATGTAGTGAGGGCATCCAGAAAAAGGGACCAGCACCAAAGTGACCACAAAGCGCCTTCAAGCCACCAGTGGCCAAGAACGGGGCTCCTGCGCCTTCTGTGCCAAGCCGCCCGCGGCATAGTCCAGGATGCGCATTGAGAAGCTCGAGACCTCGCGAAAATCGCCGGTTGGCGCGTGAAGCTACACAGGGAAGTTGTTCAAAAACAATATGCACGGCGTCTGTTTTTCAAAAAGTGCAAAAAAGTGCAAAAAGTGCAAAAAGTGCAAGAAGTGCAAAAAGTGCAAAAAGGCACGAAAAAGCATGAAAAAGCACAAATAACATGAAAAGCACAAAACCCAAAAATCTAAAAATCAAAAAGTCCAAAAATCCAAAAATCCAAAAACCCAAAGTTCTCCGGACAATCTCCCAGAAAACTTTGGATTTTTGGATTTTTGGATTTTTGGATTTTTGGGTTTTTGGATTTTTGGATTTTTGGGTTTTTGGACTTTCGGACTTTTGGACTTCTTTTCCATTTCGCGGTTGGTCCAATGGGACAGTTCACTAGCCCTGTATTGGACCCAAGCCCTATTACTGTCTTGAATTCTTCTGCTCAACCTCTTGTTGGCTTTTCGAGTAGGATGTTTTCAAAACCTTATTGGCTTCTTGAACAGGCTACTTAGCTTTTTTTGGCACAGTTTTCAATCGAGTAGTTAAGACGTTAATGCGATTCGAGCAGGCTTTGCTGCAATAATCACAGGGGGCAATGCAATATTAAGAGCTTGAATTAAAAGATCAGAAGAACTAAATCGTTATCGCAAAGAAAGGGTGTTCATGAGATATAGACTTTTTCTTAAACAGCAGGTACTGTGATCCCAGAATGGTTCTTATTGAAAAAAAAAAAGGATATTTCAGTTTCTTTCAAATGCAAAAGTCGATATTTGCACATATAGGCCTTCTCTGTTTAAGCCTCCTTGGCAAAGGCCTGTGCATAACCCATGTACGTGCTTTTCTCAGTGATTTGAATAGGCAAGACTTTACCTGGTCCTCATATACAGAAACATCATATTCAAAATCTTATTGAATATGCTATTTAGTTGTGCGATGAATGTAGTGTTCACGTTTCGAGTAGGTAGGACGCATTTGAAATTCTGATAAGGGTACATTTGAATGGTCGCCCTCCTTTCATTCAAAAAAAGGAGAACGAATATGAGCCAACCTCGAATGTGAAAAATCACAAAAATCACAAAAATCATCAAAAATCCAAAAATCCAAAAATCCAAAAATCCAAAAATCCAAAAATCCAAAAATCCAAAAATCCAAAAATCCAAAAATCCAAAAATCCAAAAATCCAAAAATCCAAAAATCCAAAAATCCAAAAATCCAAAAATCCAAAAATCCCCAAAAAATCCAAAAATCCAAAAATCCCCACAAAATCCAAAACTCCAAAAAAGCCAAAAAATCCCAAAAATCCCAAAAATCCAAAAATCCAAAAAATCCAAAAATCCAAAAATCAAAAATTCCAAAAATCCCAAAAAACCAAAAATACAAAAATCCAAAAATCCAAAAATCCAAAAATCCAAAAATCCAAAAATCCAAAAATCCAAAAATCCAAAAATCCAAAAATCCAAAAATCCAAAAATCCAAAGTTTCCTGGGAGATTGTCCGGAGAACTTTGGATTTTTGGATTTTTGGATTTTTGGATTTTTGGATTTTTGGATTTTTGGATTTCTATGCATAAGACAAGCATAGAAAAAAAAACACAGTATATGAAAACAATGCACAAAAAATAAAAGTGCAAAAGTGCGAAAAACAAAAAAAAGTCTAAAAAGCCAAAAAAGTGCAAAAGTGCAAAAAAGCAAAACAAGTGCAAAAGTGCAAAAAACACCAGAAAATTGCAACAATGCACGAAATGCACAAAAAGCACAAGAAATAAGGCAAAACACGCAAGAAAACACAAAGCACGACAAAAACAACTAGTTTTTCCTGTCCTTTTCATTTCGCGGTTGGTCCATTGGGGGGGGGAGGGGGGTGAGCATATATATACATCTACGGTGACGCTTTTAAATATGTGGGGGCCCGCCCAGCCGCACTGGCCGCAGAGGTAGTATAAAATATTTGTTTAAATCCGTTTTTGTAAATCCCAGCATGATGTGATCCAGCCTTCAGCCTTAGGTGAAGGCTGGAAAGCTGGAGGGGGTGAAAGGGGTGGAAGCTGGAATGCCTTCAAGCAATCGCCCCCTCAGCCTTCCAGCCTTCAACCCCGCCAGCCTTCAACCCCTCCAGCCTTCCAGACTGGTTGAAGGCTGGAAGGCTGGAGGGCTGCTGAAGGCTAGGAGGTTTGGAGGGGTTGAAGCCAGGAAGGCTGAAAGGGTTGAAGGCTGGCTAGGGGTTGAAGGCTGGGGCCTCCAGCCTTCCAGCCTTCGAACCCTCCAGCCTTCCAGCCTTCCAGCCCTCCAGCCCTCCAGCCTTCCAGCCTTTCTCCAGCCCTCCAGCCTTCCTCCAGCCCCAGCCCTTCCAGCCTTCCAGCCTTGGAAGGCTGGAAGGCTGGAAGGCTGGAAGGCAGGCTGGAAGGCTGGAAGGCTGGAAGGCTGGAAGGCAGGCTGGAAGGCTGGAAGGCTGGAAGGCTGGAAGGCTGGAAGGCTGGAAGGCTGGAAGGCTGGAAGGCTGGAAGGCTGGAAGGCTGGAAGGCTGGAAGGCTGGAGGGCTGGGGCTGGACCTCCCGCCTTCAAGCCTTCCAGCCTTCCAGCCCACAAGCCTTGCAGCCTTCCGCCTTCCCGCTTGAGCTCCCTTGCAGCCTTCCAAACCCTCTTCAGCCTTCCAGCCTTCCAGCCCTCCAGCCTTTCTCCAGCTCCAACCCCTGGGGCTGGACTTTTTTGCACTTTTTGCACTTGTTTGCACTTTTGCACTTTTTTTGTGTTTTTTGCACTTGTTTGTGTTTTTTTGCACTTTTTGGTGCTTTTTTAATTTCGCAATATTTTTGCAAATATTTGTCCTCTTGAATGTGCTTTTCCAATCCAAAAAATGAAAAAAAATCAAAAAATCCAAAAATCCAAAAATCCAAAAATCCAAAAATCCGAAGAACTTTGGATTTTTGGATTTTTGGATTTTTGGATTTTGGACTTTTGGACTTTTGGATTTGTGGATTTTTTGGATTGGAAAAGCACATTCAAGATGACAAATATTTGCAAAAATATTGCGCAATTAGAAAAAACACCAAAAAGTGCAAAAAGTACAAAAAAGTGCAACAAGTGCAAAAAGTGCAAAAAAGTGCAACAAGTGCAAAACGTGCAAAAAAAAAACAGAACAAAGCACAAAAGAACACACAAAGCACAAACAGGCACGAAAAAAAACACAAAAAATGCACAGGAAGCACAAAAAGCATAGAGAAGTAGACAGGAAAAGCATGGCAGGGTACAGTGTCTCGAGAACCTTATACATGTCGATGTGGGTCCATTGGGGTTGGAGGTTGGTCCATTGGGGGGGGGGGGGGGGGGGGGGGCGACCATATTTTTTTTTATGTATATGTTTGTGTTTTTTGTACTCGATTCCGCTGCCATCAGCTGGCATCTTGCACATGAGCACCTTGCATTTCAATCTTCGATTTCCAGATCAAGCAATCTGAGGAATAATCACGCTGTGTATCCTGAAACTGAAGACTGAAGATCGAAGATTCCCCAGAGACTCTTGGGCCATGCCTTGGATTTCAGTCTTGGGCGTTTTGAATCCCTGAAGATTTAGGACGCCAAAGATGAAATCGAGAACATCTCCGTAGTGTCTGATCACGATGATCACTTCTTGGGGGAAATAAACATACAGAGCATATTTCCTCGATCGCATGTGGAAGGCCTTGGCACTTGAATATGTTTTTTGATGGATGGTGAAAAAAGTTTGTTCTCTGCTTGCGCATTGAGAGTGAGCGTTGAAAGTGGTCCCGTTGAAAGTGGGCCCAAAGCGCTTGGGGTTGAACTCCAATGGGGTTGACCGGTTCCTTTGCGTATACAAATTCTGTGTATATATATGTATGTAGTATATGTACAAACTGTATGTGCTCTAGTGTGTGAGGTTCCCCAGGGCAGCCAGGCCTTCTGCTGCAGCCAGGAAACAGCGTACCTTGAGCTTCAGGCTTCGCAATGCACTTCGCCGAAGGATTCTGTGGGACAACGGAAGGCAACTTAAACCTACAAGAGCGGCACCGCATGAACTCTTGCAAGTCCATTTCGGACCTGAACGTCGCACATGGTCAGAAAACAGCAAAAAACTTACTGCAGACCCGAGCAACAGAACTGCCATCATCGGGGAGAGCGAGGCTCCGGCCAGAGCCTAGGGGCTGGGTCGCCCGCATTGACATACACCACCTCAAGATCGTGGGGCTCGAACGTTTTACGGCGTACCTTTTACACATACTTCAACTCGTACCCTTGCACGAGAAGTTTCAGGGGCCCGCACGGTGCGCTGTTGAATGAAATCGGCCAAGTCCTGTAGTGCCCAGAGGGGGGTAGGCCTCTCGTTGTCTGCAAAACCGAGGCAAAGCCACACGGAGTGTCCTTGCGCACGTCGAAGCCCTTCCAAGCAGCTACTCCCAACAACTCAGCAACTCATCGTGTTAGACGGCAGAGACACTGCTTGCTTGGGATGCTTGCCCCCAATCCAAACCCTCGGACTGCACTCCGAAGAAACATCAAAAACCACCATCAGACATCATCAGAAACCATCAATGCAGCATTCATGAAATCCTGTCTCGGGGACTCAGGGGCCTCTGCGGCCCCATAGCACATGGGCGCGCCAAAGGCCACCGCCCGGGCCTGTCAGGACACTTTCGGCTGACTTTACGTTGTTCTTGTTGCAGTTTTGTGGGGGTTCCCAAGAAAGAGTTACCTAATTGGGCTCTCGTACACGCCAGATTCTCCACACTTACCCACACTTCGGCACCTCGTTGAGGCACGGATGGACCGGGGCGCCTTTGGCCTGATCCAGGAAAACCTGGCTGCTTGCCCGGTCAGTGATGTCGCGCGCTCCGCTGTTCTCTGATCTCCGTGGGCCTGAAGCATGAAGGCCAAAGCCTCAGGAAACTCAGAGATTGTGTGCTGGACGCGCTGGATGACCGTGTCAGCCATCGCAGGACGAACTAGATACCTGTAAATTCATGGAAGTAACACCCGGAGACATTCTTAAGGGCGCGGCGTACTGCCCACCCAAAGAATGACCAGCAACGATGAGCTGACGCACCTCAGGCACTTCAACTCAGAGAGTATCACAGTCTGATCTCGGTGCACCAGTGAGCCCAGGAGCTCCATCACTGGCGCAACGCTCCAGCTGCTCCTCGTCACATGGCGCCCTCGAAAGTGAGTGGGCGTGCCTTTTTAACCGTTAAAAAGGCTCGCAGTCCTGCAGCACCGACCACTGCTGAACCCGCAGCTGTGCAATGGCCTAAGATTTTGTTCCTGAGACTTCTCGATGTGCCATCTTCGAAGTTACTCGTAAGGCGGCAAACATCTAGCCAAGACTCGTGATGGGCGCCGTGATGGATGAAGGTCGTGCGATCTGAAAAGGTGGCATCAAAGGGCGTATAGTCTGGCCCCACGGAAGCATTTGCCACAAAGTCGTTCATGAAGGAAGAACCTTTGAATATCAAATATAGCACCTGAGGCTCTTCGGCTGGGGGGGGGGGGGTCCGATGGAACAGCAAGTTGCACTTTCTGATAAAAGCCCCAGGCCGAATATCGCTGTCAACAAACATTTCCGGGTCTCTCACCGGGCATCTGGGAAAGACGTGCAAACCCACCCCCACAATACTTGTAACAAAAAAAGACATAAAAGAGACAGAGAACTAAAGGATGTATGTTTAGGTCTTTGTGTGGGCAAGACACAAGCTAAAATGTTACAAAGCCTGGGGGGGTTCTCCTGGTAACATTTCCGACCCAACAAAATGTTTCCACGAAACCATCGGTAACTGACGCAGCGCCCCCCCTTGGAAACATTTCCTACAGCAGGGCCGTCAACAAACAGAATGCTCAGAAAAACCACACGTGGTCTGATGTGCGCAGGATCGCGATCCTGCGATCCCCCCCAATCAAGTGTCGACTCTGAGCGATCCTTGAGATTGCTCACGCTGCTGGGAAACTTGTTCCGCTTTCCGGTCATGGCATTGACTCCATCACTATTCAAGGGTCCCAAGAGCACCAACAGTCCGACGGGTACGAGCCTCGACAGACCCCAGAACTGGGACGAAAGCCCTATGTCTATAACACACAACGTTTGCTGTCAGACCATGCAATGGTCGGACGGCTCAGAGACGCCTCACATGGGAAATACACAAAATTTTGACCCCCCCCCACCCCCACCCCCCCGCCCCCACCCCCAGGCCAACATTGTGAGGAGTAATGAAGGAGGTTTCTCAGGAGACTTTTGCTCTGCCATTGGAAAACGGAAAGCAATGACATGTCATGTGAGGGATTGTGAGGGTCATGTGTCTTCTTGAGCCAGGAGACAGCATCAGTGGCATGCGGTGCCGCGGTGACGATGGCAAGGCGCGCTGGACTTCCCTGCATGGGATCATCCAGGACACTGAGAACCTGTCAGGGGCATTGCTGGAGAGCGCATGGACTCCTGAAGCTTGGAGTGTGAGATGTGTGAATCAGAAGCACTCGCCTGGAACTTCACTGGCTCTCCCCCCACCCTCAGCTGCAATGAAAGTGTCAGATGTCAAGCCATCCCAACTTATCCCAACAGTAGCCGGGGGACTTGAGAAGCGGGACAGTGGACGGCTTAACGGGATCAACGAAATAGATCCACTCGCTGAGCCATGCCGCCAAGAAGTCCTGAACAACAGCTACACTCTTTGGGAGAAAATACGTAGAGTTCTTTTTTCGTGACAATGGAGGCATTCCAATTCCTGCACCAAGCTCTCCCCGAGCTCCAGGGAGATGTCCGGAGTCCCGGTGCACCCGGTTTCCTCGACGTCTTGGGCCATTTGCAATCCTGGCTCCTGCACGCTGCAACGTTCCAGCTGTGCTACAGCTTCGGTCTGGGCAGTCCTGGTGGGTGGTATCTGCATCTCGGGCCTCGTCCTTCGGCGATGCCTCCTGGACAAGAGGACGAACTAGCGGCTTGGGCTTCTGCGTGCAAGTTTGGCCAGGTGCCTTGGCGACCTCTTCAGTGGGCTCATGAAGGAGAATGTTGGAGGCATCCCAAGGCAAGCCGCAGAGCTTGCCGCCTCAAGACAAGCAGGCACCATGCATTGGTATGCCATCCACCAGAGTCGACTTCAACAGGCGCCTATTGCCGCTGCAAAGCCCCACTTGCCAGTGCCAGAGTCCAGGCTCGTCACATCTATGGTCGTGGCTGCTGATGTCACAGGGTCAATAACCAGGATGCCTTGCCTCAGTCGGAACTCAGAGCATTCGCTGCCCCAACGGGCACGCAGAGCTACAGTAGCTACAGCAGCTTCTGGAACTTCTGGAACTTCTGTGCCATTGCCACGATGCGCGTTGTATGGAATCGCATAGATCTTGCCGCCCATCACAGCTGCGGCTTGCCACTTGCCCTTGACGTCTGACAAATGCCCGATGCCAATGCCTGAAACTGCCTGCCGAGAGGCCCCAAAACTCACACAATCGGGTACAAGTACTACAAGCCGGCCCCTACAGGTCGGCTCCCAAAAAAAAGAAAAGGCTCTAAAAAAAGATGTAAAAAAGAGGCCTCGGCCCGGCCTCGGTGGCCAGGTCGAAGACCAGCACCGTCTTGGCATGGTCCGGGATGCCGTAGATCTTCCCCGCACAGATGGCGGTTGTGATCCACTTTCCTGGCCCAGTGGCAACAGCAGTGGTGTCGATACCGCGGAGGCGATTCGTAGCAGGGTCGAAGACCAGAATGCACTCAGCGTGGCAAGGTACAGCATACATGATGCCAGCCACTGCTGCGGCACAGAGCCACTTCAACGGGCCTGTGGCAAAAGCGTGTGTGGGGACTCCGGTGCAGCTTTTCGTGAGCGGGTCGTAGACCAGAATGGCATCTGAGTTACAGGGCACTCCCAGGATTTTCCCGCCGAGACTAAGGCCTGCAAGCCACTTGGAGTTGCCAGTTGCAACATGGGTTGTGTCGACACCAAGGAGTACATCCATCCGTGGGTCATAGACCAGGAGCTTGCTGGCATGATGTGGAATTCCATAGATTTTGCCTGCCAAGACAACGGCAGATTGCCACTTCAGCGGACCACGTGAGAGCTTTCGGGTGTCCACTCCGGATGCTTTGCCAGAGTTGAAGTTGTATACCAGCAAAGCCTCTGCACGGTCAGGGATCCCATAGAGGCTGCCGCCTATGGCTACGGTGGACCGCCATTTCCCCTGACCTGTGGCGATTCGACGAGTATCCACGAATCGTAAAGGCTCGGATGTGCTGGAGCTGTCAAATATCAGCAGATGCTCAGAGTTGCAGGGAAGTCCATACAGCTTGCCACCCAACGCCAGCCCAGACCACCACCTATTCGAGGCAGGAGCGGCTTGAGAGACATCTATGCCCCACACCGGTGCCGACGAACCGGTGCCCATCTCCACAGCCCATGTCAAGACTCTGACAACTCAATGCCATGAGACACAGGGAACAATGAGCACACACTGCTACACTACACTGCAGTGGCAATTGCGCGCTCGATGCTGCTTCGATAAGTGTCTGCTAGCAGCTGACATTCGGCATTCGGCAGCTAGCATCTGCGGAATGTTTTGGTGTGGCTGCTTGAGCCAAGCTGAAACTAAGCACCTGCATGCGCACGCACACACACACACACACACGATTATCTGACACAGAGCCGCAGACGTCAAAAAGCATCGGGGATCCAAGCTTGTGCAACGTACCGAATTTTCAACAGCCTGCTCAAGCTCAGCAAAGCTGCATCCGGCGCAAGACACCAGGGAGGTATTAACAGTGCCCTTGACTCCAGACCTGCGCGGCTAGGGCTGCCGCTAGCAGCTGGGCGGGCAAATGCATTTGTGGCATCTGCCATGCTGCAGCTGCTCGCATTCAGAAGGGTGATGGCATCTGTGCCTTGTGGCTCACAAACCATTGAGATTCCATGCTGCATGATGCCGCATGATGCCGCATGATGCCGCATGATGCCGCATGATGCCACATGGTGCCACATGGTGCCACATGGTGCCACATGGTGCCACACATGGTGCCACATGCCGCATCTTATCGGGTAGATCTGCCTGTGGCTTTGAGAAGCTCCGCGGACTATGTAGCTGTGACCTGCATGAAGGGCAAAAGGTGCTCGACTTCCGCGCAAAGCTCTGCTGTGGCCAGCCTGATGGAGTGGCTAGATGGACGGCTGTCTGAGGCTCGTGTTGTAGACAGCTGATCATCAAGGGTGGTGAAGTTGAAAGACCTCACATGGGAATGACAAGTGCAACAGCACTGCATCAGGACCTGTGCCAAGTGCATGCCATCTTCTGTTTGTAGACAGATGTTGCAGTACTCATGCGTAGGTTCAGTTTTGTGATTCCACAGTTGGTCCAAAGCGCGTTCCTAAGCATGCGAACAGGCCCGATATTCACCAGATTACGCAGCCACAACAGACACAAAGACAATTCAACCAACACTACCCCGCCCAGAGTCATGCAGACTTGGCGCCCTCAGCCCCAAAACCCCCAAAAGCCCCCCAAGCCCCTAAACCCTAAACCCTAAACCCTAAACCCTAAACCCTAAACCCTAAACCCTAAACCCTAAACCCTAAACCCTAAACCCTAAACCCTAAACCCTAAACCCTAAGGCCGAGCCCTAGAAAAGACGACACTGCAATAGAGAGACACAAGCGAATTCAAGCCGCAACACTCTGCAAAATAAGAAGCAAATTCGAACCGCTAGGTGTGCTGAATAGACTCAAGCATATACTGATACGCATACATGTAGCATAGGGGCCTCAATGGCTAGAATAGTTCTTTTTGTGGGAGGGGGGAGGGGGGGTTAAGAAAAAGATATAGGGGCCATAAGGGAATCGTATCCTCAGTATGCTCAAGCCCTAAACCCTGGAACCCTAAACCCTTAAGTGCTTAAGTACCCTAAACCCTAAACCCTAAACCCTAAACCCTAAACCCTAAACCCTAAACACTAAACCCTAAACCCTAAACCCTAAACCCTAAACCCTAAACCCTAAACCCTACAGGAGAGGACGCTGTGGACGCTTGTTTCTTGTGTTACATACAAGCGTCCACAGCGTTATTTTTGAACAGCCCACCCCAATTATTAATATTATTAATAATTGGGGGCCTGCTCGTAAGAATAAGATTGCCCCAGGGAAGTTCTTCCGAGCATCTCCCCTCGCCACCACCCATTATTAATATTACCTCCTCACCACCCACCATTATTAATATTATTAAGAATGGGTGGTGGCGAGGGGAGATGCTCGGAAGAACTTCCCTGAGGCAATCTTATTCTTACGAGCAGGGCCAGGATTATTAATATTATTAATAATTGGGGGCCTGCTCGTAAGAATAAGATTGCCCCAGGGAATTTCTTCCGGTTCGATGCTGAATTTGGGGAGCGCGCATTGCCGTGGATGACATGCCCCGTCCCTTGGCAATAGCTGGCTAAGACCAAGGGCAAGCATCAACAGCTTGGCAAAAACACACAAACAGTTCAGGCCTCTTCACAATGTGAACGCCGTGGGCCCTTACACTGGCAAACGCTGGCAACGACATGCAATCGACCAGGTTGACGAATGGAGTGGCCTCTCCCTCATCGCGCATGGAAAACAAGCCTGAAGCTACATGTGGGCTGAGGGTGTCAACATGTGCCAACCGAAGCAGGCCCTCACTTCTGGTGGAGCCAAGAAGCGTTCAACAAACTCATTTTGCGGGTTGTCCATAGAGCTCAAATCCTGACAGTTGCTGAGCCCTTCTGTCAAAACTTGGACACGAGAGCATCTGAGACTGAAACCCGGTCTGCTTCCAGCTGGCTCACGTGGGTTGCTGCTGCTGCAAAGAGCGTGCCCTCACGACAAGTGACATCTGCGGACGCTGTCACTAAGGGGTACTAACCCCTGCAACCATGACTCCCATTCTCTAAATCACATGCGCATCTGACAAGGCCGGCGATGTCTGCTCCAAAGTACGCATTGCTTTGCACTTGCCGGTTTAGACATTCCCCACATTCCCCACCGCCCCCCAGCTGCTCACATCAGCTTCTAATCCCCACGTGCTGCCACGCCATCTCCCAACATCAAGAGGGTCTCGTCCCTGGCAAGTGCACTATGTCACGATGCCCATTTGACGTCTTTTCGGCGTTCACCTGCGAACACGCTGCACAAGTCAACAGCGAGGGGGCCCTGCCATGGAGTACAGGTACAAGGAGGTGGGAGAACAGTCACCGACAAACCTCTCATGTCGATAGGACGAAAGGAGTGGGCCGAAGCGGACGGGCGGCTGCCCTCGCAACCTGGAAGTCTCACAACAGCACCCGATGTCTGCCTTCACACAGCTCACAATGCCCATGGCCAGGATGTCAAACCTCAAGGCAAGGCTCGTGTTGACAACTGTTGACACAATCTTGGCCTCCTTCCGTGGAGGCCTAGATCGAGGCCCGAACACCAAGGAGTCCAAGAACAACAGCCAGAACAGCACCTGCGTGCTTCAATGGCCCGCTCTTCGCACAGATTGATGGCAATAGAGCAGATCAGGCACCACAAGAGACACCGCCGCATTCCAAATGCCAAGGAGTTCCAGATTGGCGAAAAGTCGTCCAAGGTCGGGATCCTGGCCGAATCTTTTGGCACGATGGCACGCTTCGCTGACCTTGATGACCAAGGCCTCTGTCAGCAAGAAAAGGATCCCCACCACAATCCTGAGCTTCAACTTCTTGAGGGTTGGCGTGTCCCGAATCTTCTGACATCACACCAAGGTGCGCAAGTGGCTGCGCCAAGGGCGGCAGAAACACCCAGACCTCGTTCTGCTAAAAACCCAGGGAAAAAAGCCCAACAGAAACCTGAAAACGGAGAAAAACACAGAAACAAGCCAGAGGCCGCGCCATGCCAGCCACCATGCTGGTCTTGAAGAGGATCCTTTAGAGGATCTCAGGGAGCACTAAAGGTATCTAAAGGTCACAAGAGGGGGAGCTGCCCCAAGTTTGAAGCAAGCGGAGCCCACCCGCAGATCAAGCAGAAGGCCAGAAGATCGAAGGCCAAGAAGCAGATGAGCGACCTGACCGTCTAACAGCACTCTCAGTTCTGCAGTCGGCCTCCTGATTCCTGATTCTACTCTCGAGTCGTAACGTTTTGTTCAGAGAGGTTCCAGAGCAACGTCCACCCCTGCCCCATTGCTAGCATCGGCACGATGCCGCCCGAATGCAGGCTGTCATGCTCATGCTTTGGACATCAGATGACACGACTTCAACCGCTTTCCGTCCTCCCCTCGCACACACACACAGAGCAAAACCATAAACAACAAATCTGAGCAGCATGCGTCCTACGAGCAGTGCTTCCAGCAAGCTTAGCCAATTTCAGGCCAAGCAGCACTAGAGTTCTTGCTGCAGTCTGGTCCGAGCCTGAAGGAAAGCCACTACTACTTTTGGGCAAGCTGTGCTGCTCAGGATGAGGCTCTCACCCGAGTATCCCCATCGCAACAAAGGCCTCGCACAGGGTTGGACCGGAAGGGAAAGCTCCGTGAGGCAACAGCTGAAAGGCTCTCCAGCACAATTTTTTGATTGAACGAAACATGTGGCACAGATGATTCCCCCACTCTGTAGCTTCGGGAGATCGAAAAGGGCGGGGTGGGACAGTAACGCCCCCTGCTCGCCGCAGAACACTGAACTCTGGAATCCTACCCCGCAAACTCTTCGAAACAAAAAGCGCGCACTGCATTACCTTCAAACACATCAGCCGGCAGATGGCAGGTCAACGGCGTGTCAATTGCATGCGTACAGCAAGTCTAGACTCGGTAACTTTCCAGAATCATCCGAAGAGTTCTGCCAAATCCACGCGCGAACTCCAACGCAGTGTGAAAGAATCAACATGAGAGAGGAATCGCCTCTTCACGCCCCAGCCGCCGACACGGTCCACAGGTGGGATGGGATTCGAGGACTCTTCCCCTGTCCAGTGCCGGGATGTGCAAAACTGCTGGGCAACTGCTGCATTCCTCTCTTTGTTGTCTCCTGCGACCATGGCAGAGCTTCGTAGAGCCTCGTTCAGCACCTGGCAAGCCATGCTGGTGTGCTAGGTAGCTCCAATCATTGAAACTCCTTGGATTTGGTGATGGGCTTGCCACCTGGGGAGCAATCGGAGTCGTCAGGACCTTGGCAGTGTGTGACGGCGAGGCATGGGCAAGAGCATGAGCAAGAGCATGAGCACCAAGAGCATGAGCAAGAGCACAAGCAGAAGCATGAGCAAGAGCCAAGGGCATGAGCAAGAGCATGAGCCAGAGCGTGCGCAAGAGCGTGAGCGGAAGAGTGCAGAAACGTGCAGCACTTCCCACAAAAATCTTAGCGAGAAGCTCTAGAGCTCCCGTGCGATCCCGCAGCGGATCCGAGCGATGCCAGATCCCCGCTGCTGGCACCTGAGTTGAGAGATGCACTCAGATGCAACTTCCCAACCCTCCTTGCGATACATGATACACCGATACACCATTTAAGCTCGCGCGTGCTGGGGCCTTCAAGCCGCTGCATTCCACATGTCATGAACTCTGGCCCGGACTTGCCAGCAGCGAGAACTCCGTAAAGACAAGGCAGAGTCCTTGGCTTCAAGGCTTCAAGGAGAGTGGTTGATTTACACGTTGACATTTCGGGTCATTGCAATTGGCTGCACAAAGCGGGACCCCAGTGCTTCCAGGGCGTCGGAGCTCTCGCCGCCGTGGAGCATGGGATGGCAGTCTGTCGCAGTGAGCCTCCTGTCAAGTGGCCACACATGCTGCTGCACAGGGTCGTTGCACAAGTCATGCAACCAGGCGAGAACTGATCACACCTCTGCATCGAGGACAAGGTCCCGAAAGGAGTTGCCCTTTCCAGACGACGAGGAGTGGCATAAGCGCAGCCAGACTTAAGTGGCACGAGCGCAACCACAGCGCAACACGTTCACGAAAGATCACAAACTCACAAGCTTGGCAACAAACATGCCTGCGACTCGCTCGATCTTGCCACGCTAGCGTCCGTCGTGCCCTCGGCACGGCTGAGACTAAGTCCGTCGACTCCTGGCATCTCAGTATGCCAGAGGGCGCCAGAGGGCCAGGGCTCCTAAGGTGAAGTCACAGCCGCAAGACTGCCCAAGACTTGACATGGCCTCGGAAGCGGTCTCTCTGCCAAACCAGGAGAACTTGGACAAATCCCCCCAGCCTCGAGCGACGCGAATTTCAACACCCAGTACAAAACCGCACCAGCAACTATGAGTACCACCAGCAAAACACTTACGCGATGGATTCTCGGATTCTCGTCCAGCAGCCCACACTGCGAGGCACACTGTTCAACCTTCTCGTGCAGTTGCTGTAGAGGGTCATCAATGGAGTTCTGGAGCTCATCCTGCAAATGCCACAGCAAACTCTCTGAGGATTTCACGAGAAAAACGCTCTAGGAGCAAAAAGAGGCCACCTTGAAAAGCCGACGGGCAACTCGGTTGAAGGTGGAGAGAACAGCTAGAATGGCCGTGGCGCCGTGGTCCGTGTGCTCCAGGCGCTGAAGCACTGGATCACTCATGTCCACCTCGTAGGGCTCGTCAAAGGTCCCCTGGCCATGCACCGGAATCAACCAAGCCTCCTTCCTGAGGTTTACAGGTGCAAAGTCCATAGGAGACCTCGAGAAGTCGAAGAGGTCCAGATAAGCCAGCGTGGCTTTCCGATTACAGCCGAAGCGTACATGCAACTCGCCGCCAGCTTGACGGATAGGCCTCCAGAGCCTCTCTGTTTCGGAGAACTCTCTCACAAGCTGCAACATGGCCCTCGCCCGTCTGCATCGGCAGTACCTAGCAAACTGCGGAGCTGCAGGCGGATACAAGTACTCCAAGATGCCCTCTGCACGGCTTTGTAGCTTGGAAACATTTGCCGCAGCATTCACCATCCTTGCTAGCTGCTCCCACTTCTCCTTGATGACCAGGTCATCCACGGCTGCGGGTACCTGCGGTTTCAACAACCACGCAGATTTTCCCGTGTTCTCGCCTTGGAAATACACCCGGCAGGTGTGGAAGGGCAGCTGTTCTTGAGCCATCTGAAACTCAGAAGGACTGTGAACCCTCTGCGGCTCATCCGAGGCGTAACGGCGGGTGCAGTATCGCCAGAAGCAAGATGCCCAGCACGTGGAGAAGCTACCGCTCTGAGCACTTGCACCTTCGCGGTTGTGCGCTCGAAGGGAAAAGGACGATGATCCCCCAGGCCTAAGTGACACTCAACACAAATCTCCGTATGCTGCATCATAGGTTCACATCCCATACTTGTTCAAAGCATGCCTCTCTGGCATCGAAGGAAAAGTACCAGAAAACCATGGACATTCAGGAAAGCTGTCAAAAACCATGAAAAGCAAAATACCGAAACAGGCCCAAAAAAACCTTCCAAAACTAAGAATTTCCTGTCATGTTGTCGTGATTGGAGCTGTGGCTTGAGGTTGAAGGGTTCAGGGTTTAGAGCTAAGGGCTGAGGGTTTAGGGCTGAGGGTTTAGAGTTCAAGGTTGAGGGTTTTCGGGTTTAGGGTTGAGGGTTGAGCTTCATACGTAGGGTTGAGATTTCGAGGCCTTCCAGTTGAGGGTTTGATTGGGTTTAGTAGGTTTGAGGGATTGGGTGTAGGTGTTAGAGAGTTCAGGTGCGGGGTTCAAGGTTGAGTGTTTCGTCTTTTCGGACTCTGAGGGGAGGATTTCTGTAGATTTCGCTTGGAATATTCTGGACTACGGGGCATTCGTTGAAATCCCTTGAAATGCTAGGCAAATCCCACAGAAAGTTTTTTTTAATCAAAAAAAACCTGGAAACAACTAAAAAACAATAAACGTTTCCAAGTTTCGGGCCCTGGGAAAAGGCACCAAAATCTGGGGGAAGATTTGGCTTCCCCCTGTCTCCTACTTGGCATCTTTTGAGCCTGTTAGCATCAAGGCAAGCAGCACATAAGGAACCACATTGAGCAATGTTCAGCGAAGGATTTCACTGGGATTTTTGTTGGCTCCCTGAATGGTGCCCCGGTCATTGAAAAGGCACGTTTCAGAGGCATAAGCGATGCGAACAGAAGACTGCAAAAGCTGAAGTGACACTGAACTGATGCTGACCTGAGCTGCAGGCCCGTCATGAGAGAGCAGTGCACGTGACAAGCCACCCGACTTCCGCCGACGCCACAGGAGAAGCGCAGCACTACTCACAATCGCGATTGCGATGGCAAGCACTCCTTTCGGACCGCCGAAGAAGCTGAGAGCATATTCCATGGGATCCAAGCAGCCTGGGTTGCTCTTGCGGTTCGGAACCCCAACGCCGCAGGCGTAGGGGCACTCCGCGTTTGGCCAATGAGTTTTTGTGTAGTTGCCGTTGGGAGGCTTGTTTGTGCATGCCTGACAGCCGTTAAGGCCCCCAAGGCTCCATAACCCGGCGTCACATGCATCGCAGAAGAGGCCTGCATAGCCGGGGCTGCATCCCCTCAAGGGCATCTCCTGGCCAGGATGCCCGAAGGTGTCTCGGAGACCACGAGAGTTGGGCACCACCCAAGAGCAGTTCTGCCCCGATCCATCATTGCCCATGTAACCGCCAGCAACGTCGACATCCAGCTTACCGTGTGACGGAAAGGGCGATGTTGCCGTCCAGTTTAACCCAACAAAGCCGCCACCGCCACCACCGCTAAGCACGTTTGTCGTGGCCGAGCAAGCACCACTTCCACCCGCAACACTGAGCACTGGAGCCTGCAAGAAACCCTTGCTTGCTAGGCCCCTAGGCCGATCTGTGCCTGAAAAACCGCAACCTTTGCAACAAAACCTGCCGCTACTTGAGCAAACATGAGCTACATTGCTACATCACGAGACTTCCTCCATGCCTCATCTTCGTTTTCCGTGGCAATCTTGGTCGCGAAGATCAAGATCTGTCCTCCTGCTCCACCCCCTGACACATGCTTGGTAGCGACGCCTCCGGGCAACCCTTCAGCCTTCAAGGCAACCCAGCTGCCGAAAGTCACACTACCAGAAGCGCTGGTAGCAGATATCCAGATCAAGCCACCACCAGCTGAGCCTGCAGGTGGGGTGGCTCCATTAGCGTCAGGCCCCAGATAACCAGTGGCGCCACCGGAAGCACCCTCTGTCGGGAGGAAGAGCCGGTTGTACAAATCGTAAGCCGGCTGTTGAACCGTGGAGGAATTCGGCTGCACTGTATGCGTGTCGAACGAACCTCAAGCGCAACTCACGAAACTGTGCCGAAACAGGGAGGACCAAGTCGACTCCTTGCTAAAACAAGGCCCATTAAAACAACGCCCACCCTGAACCTGAGGCCCTGGAGTTCTTCCAAGGAGCCGCCATATCCCCCCTCACCAAGATGAGTGCCTCCACCTGAACCCAAACCGTCTTGACGCCTTCTTGTGCTCGCGTGTGTGTGTGTGTGTGTGTGTGTGTGTGTGTGTGTGTGTGTGTGTGTGTGTGTGTGTGTGTGTGTGTGTGTGGTGTGTGTGTGTGTGTGTGTGGTGTGTGTGTGTGTGTGTGTGTGTGTGTGTGTGTGTGTGTGG